CCCTGCGAACCTCTCCTGCGGGCCCCCCTGGCAAGGGGTTGGCCTCCCCCTGCGCAATCACAGGTGCAAGGAGAAGGAGGTAAGGGACGGGAAGATGAGGCCGTCGGTGCTGGGGCAGCGACAGCGGGCTGCCCGCTGACAGTCACCTCCTCCTCTTCCCTACTGACAAATCCGCGTCTTGTTTGTGGACAGCAATTTCCCAGCTTAAAAACCTTACACTCCCCCCGCCCCCGCCCCCCCACCCCACCCACCAGTCAGTCCTGTGACACAGCTCAGGGCCACCAGACAGGGCAGAGGTTGTCACATGGCATCAGCCGGGCTCCCCGTGGCCCCCCCACTGACCGTCCTGAAAGGGACCCCTCGGCCCAGGTGGAGCGGCCGTGCTGTGACCTCAGGGGCCATCCGCACACGCCGAGGACTCTGAGGGGAAACCGAGGAGGAGGCCGGGCCCCGGGGCATCTTGGAGCTGCTGGGCCTTCCCCGGGGCCCCTGCCTCCTCAGGAAGAAAACCTGATTTGCTTACTCCCGTCGCTCAGGCCCCTCTTACTCTGCGGATTGCCATCCTAACTGTGCCAGTGGCCGTGTGCGGTGACAGGACACCAGACTGGCCTCCAGGAGAGCCGACCCCCCTCCTCTCCACCGCCCGCCAGCTGCGAGGGGCCCAGGGACCCAGCCTTCCCCCGTCGGTTCCCAGGGCAGCGCTCCCAGGACGCCAGCTGGGCAGGACAAGGGAGGCCAACGTCCCAGAAACTCTTCAAAGGCTTTGGTCCTGGAAGGAGGAGGCGGGACTGGTCAGCAGCTGACCTTGGATGACCCGCAGCTGCCTTCTGGCCCCCCGCCGTCTCCTGTTTCAGTAGAGAGTGGACGGATACACCTTGCAAAGGGCCACGCTGTTCAGGGGAGAGGGGCTGTCAGTGCGGAAGTATGACTTCAGGATGGCTGACGATCCCCCCCGGGGCCATGAGGACCACGGCTCGGGGCTGGTGCAGGCAGCAGGCAGGGGTGTGGTGGGAGAGCACTACCCTGGGAGCCGGGAGCCCTTCTGTTGCATCGCTCTGCCGGCCTTGGAATGCTCCTCCTCTCCTGGGCCTCGGTTTCCTCCCCCGTCACACGCAGGGTTTGGGCTGGATGACCACGACCGGCCTCGTCATCTCTCGTACTCTGGGAGTTAACTTCGGTGCTTGCACAGACCAGCAGGGAGGCAGGGCCCAGGCGACAGAGGTTGGGGTCGGCTCTGTAGTCATGAGTGTGAAGTGTGGAGAACCCCAGGAACCTCAGAGAGAGGTCTCCACAGGGCCCAGGTGGACGCACCTACTGAGATGTCATCTGGACGATGACTGCATGAATTCTGGACCATGCAGGCTGGTCTTGCTGGGTTGAGTGAGTGAGGCTCATCTTGCGAAGAGTTCTCTGTGATTTAGAAGTGGCTCTGAGTAGGTGGATGCCTGCTGGGACAAGTTCTGTCTAGGATGACCTGGGTCTCCCACTAATGCGCTGTGTGATCTTGATTTAAAGTCTATTTCGATTTCAAGTCTGGCATTATAGCCACCCCTGTAGTCTTTGGATTTACTGTTGGCATGGAATATCTTTTTCCATCTTTTCACTCCCGATCGATTTGTGTCTTTGGATCAAAAGTGAGTCTCTTAAGGACTACATAGAGTTGCATCATGTGTCCATATTGCCCATCTCTGTCTTTTGAGTGGAGAATTTAATCCACTTACGTGTAATTAGTGGTAAGAAGGGACTTTCATTCGTCATTTTGTTATTTATATTTTACATGCCTAGAAGCCTCATTGCTCCTCAGCTCCTGAGTTGCTGTATTCTGTTTTGTTGATAATTGTTACAGTGAAACATTTTGATTCTTCTCATTTCCTTTTTTGTGCATGCTGTAGCTGTTTTGTTTGCGGTTGCCATGGGGACTGCAGCCAGCATCCTAAAGCTGTAACACTCTCATTGGAATGTATGCCAGCTTAGCTTCAATAACATGCAAAAACCCTGCACCTTGCAGCTCTGTCCCCACCCCCGTTCACTTACTGATGTCACAAAAGCACATCTTTATTCACCGTGTGTCCAAACACACAGCCTAATAATTTTTGAATGCATGAGTCTCTTAAATTGCGTAGAAAACAAAAGGTGGGGTTATAAACTGAAGTTACAGTGCTCCCATAGTACGTGTGTTGCTTCCCTTGATGGTGTCCCTTGGGTCCGCTGGGCCGTGTTCACCTGTTTAAAACTCTTTTTCCTTCTGTTGTTTACCGCCATTAATTCCCAAGGTCCTATCTTCAAACTCACTGACTCTTCTACTTGCCCAAGTTCGCTTCAGAACCCCTCCAGTGATGTTTCCATTTCAGGGACATTATACTTTTCAGCTCTAGACTTTCTTCTTTGTATACTTTTATGTTTTCTAATTCTTTATTGATATTTCCATCTCATTCACGCATCACTGTCTTGAGTTTGTTGACACCTGATTTTAGGGCTTTGCCCAACTTTGAGATCATGTTTCAAGGTCACTTTCTGGTAAATCTGCCATCTGGTCTTTCTCGAGAACAGCTTTTGTTTATTTCTTTTTTCCTATGAATGGGCCATACTTCTGTGTTTCTGTTATTGTTGTCGTTGAAAATTAGACATTTGAATCTTATAGCATGGTAACTCTAGAAAATAGATTCTTCCCCCTTTCGCCAGGGTTCACTGGGGTTTTTCTTTTGTTTGTTGGATTTTTGTAGACTGTCTCTGTACCAGGGATCAGCCTGAAGTATAAACTTACGGTCTTCTCAGGCTTGCCAGAGCCTGTGCCCTCCCATGGGTGTGTACCATAACTTTCTGAATTCCTCTGTATATTTGTTGCTTCAGAATGTCTTCAGACTTTTTTTTTTTTAATGTTTATTTATTTTTGAGAGAGACAGAGAAACAGAGCACAAGTGGGGGAGAGGCAGAGAGAGAGAAAGACACAGATTCCTAAGCAAGCTCTAGGCTCCGAGCTGTCAGCACAGAGCCCGACGCGGGGCTCGAACCCACAAACCGTGAGATCATGACCTGAGCCGAAGTCGAACGCTTAACCAACTGAGCCACCCAGGCACCCCCAGGATATCCTCATTGTTAAATGTCTAGTTCCAGAAAGAGGAAAAAGAGAAAAACTAAGGGGGAAAAATGCCCCGGCCCTGTAAGTCCCCTGAGTTGCTTCAACATGAAGAGGGGAGTCTGGCCACACTCGTGGGGGGAGTCCCAACAGTGGCCGCTCACCTCTGTGTCTGTGCCCCCACAGCCACAAGCACATATCAGCCACCAGGGCATAGATCCAGAAATTCGGAGGCCGGTCCTGTTTCCACCCTGGCTCCTGCAAGCTGTGTGCAAGCTGCCCCAGGGGCCAGGGACTGGGGAGTGGGTAGCCAAGAGCTGAAGTGAAGTGAAATTAACTCCACTTTAGCGGCCCAGACTCGCTCTAGGGGAAGTTGGGAGCCTTCTAGAGGACAGCAGTCTTCCGGAACCGTTACATCAGACAGATTCTGCCAGCACAGTTTTTGCCCAGGTGGAGACAGGGATTCCTGGGGCTTCCTACTCCATCATCTTCTCCTGGGCTGTGTGACCTTGACACAGTCACTCAAGCCCTCTGGGTCTTGCCTGTGAAGGTTACGGGGGTTGGACCAAGGATTGCGAAGATCCTTTTGACTCTAGAAGTCTGGGATTCTCTACCTCGGGCAACCAGTACTATTGGGGAAATGAGGTGCGATTAGCCATAACGCGTAACTATTTGCATTTTCCCCCTTTATGTGGTTTCTGTTAATACCCTTTCTTTGATTTCCCTCCACCTTTAACTTCTTAGGGGGCACCTCTCGGCTTTTGCGGCCTCATTCCCGTTCATTCTCCTGCTCATAAAGCCGGACCCTCCCCACTCTCAGCCCCAGGCTTGTGGGGAGGGATTGACCTCACTCTTGGGATGGACCCGGATCAGCCTAAGCCAGTCAACGCAATCCAAACCTCCGTGCAATCTGATGGTGCAGGGGCGGAGGCTGCAGTCTCTTAGTTCAATGGCCCAGGACTTTGGGTCAACCCGAAGAGAGATAATTGTTCTCCTCTTTACTGAACTCTAGTCTGGAAGGAAGACATCTGGTCACCAGGACAGGGGTCCGCGAGTGGTCTTGCCTGGGAGAGAGGTGCTAAACGATGAAGAAAGAAACAGGTCCTGGTAGAGTCACTTGAGCCCCTGAATCAAACTCCTTCTGTGTCTGAGCTTTCCTGTTCGTAGAACCCAGTAAGTCCCTTCCGGGCTCCAGCCAGGTTGCACTGAAGGTCCCGTCACAGGAAATGCAAGAACCTGATGGCTGCCTCCCCTCCAGCACCCAAGTCTCCAAGCTGAGACCAGCACAAAACTTTTGCTGCCTCAGCTTCTCCCCCACCCCCGGGGGTGTGAGTTAAATTCCTCTCCTGCTGCCCCTTTTTCTCCATTTTCTCGCCTCCCACGGAGGCAGCTGCAGAAACCACCCCGTAATGGCATCTCCAAGGGCGAGGGCACATTATCCCCAGACTCTAATGAACCGAGCAGCCCCGTCACGGCCAGGCCGGCCTCACGCGGTGACCGCGAGCGCTGCCGCGTCAGCACCGGGGGTTCCTGGCACGGACTCGCCTTCCTCCGGCAGAGGCGGGTTTGAGCCGAGAGGCCGCGGGTCAGATTTAAAGCTGGGGGTGGGGGGGCGGGGGGAGAGGGCAGCCACACGGAGCCCCGGAGGGCCAAGGCTCAATCTGACGGCCGTCTCAGAAACGACCTTGCTCTGCAGATGTGCAGGCTAAGCCCAGAGAGGCCGAGTGACTTCCCCCGCTTTACACAGGGGTCTGGAGACTGAGTTGGGTCCAGAACCCAGACAGCCCCCTTCCGAGTCCACTTCTCCCTCTACCCCGCCAACGTGACCCCCAGGCTGAGACCTGTCGCCTCCTGGGCGCCCCCAGGACTGTGTCCTTCCCTTCGGGATTCCCGGGCGCCAACGGTGAACCCTCGCTGGGTCCCTGAGTCTGCGTTACACTGGGCACCCCCGGTGACGCGCCACATTTTCTCCGGTCTCCCGTCCGCAGGTCCCGCAGCCGCGGACGCAGAGTGGAAACGGACGGTCGCCGCCACCGGTTCCCGCACCTGAGCTGAGGTCTGAGCCCGGGCCCTGCTCCTTGGCCCAGACCTCGTGGGTGCCCTTCTTTGCCCTGAGTCAGGATCTCCCCCCTCCCGGCCCCCACGGCGGGACATCCCTGCTCTGTCCTGATGCCGGAAGGCCCAGAGGACCCTTCTGGCCTCCGGCACCTGCCCCCAGTCTCTCTAAATGCTGTCTTGTCTCCCAGCCCCTGTGGCTGGGCCTTTCCCCCGACCCTGAGGGAGAGCCTCGTCCAGATCCTGCGGCTACGTGCCCGGTGCCCCTTCCGTGTGCACCCGTACTCCTGCGGCCAGGTGGTGCCCAGAGCCTCCTCTGACAGTGGGCGATGGGACCGTGAGGGCTGGAAGCCAGGGCCCCACATCACCCCCCACCCAGCTCAGCGCCTCATCTGTGCCCCCCACCCAAGTCACCGGCCACTTCCTTCCCTGAGCACCTACTGTGCGCCGGCCCCGTTGGCAGCTTCCCCTCCCCTGCCAGCCAGGGTGAGTGCCCTCACCTCTCAGGGAAGTCCCCTTTCCTGTTTCCTGTCCTCCCCTGCCTGCAGGAAGGGGGCGGATGGAAGGAATCGAAGGGCTCCAAAGAAAAACCCCCGGAGCCATCAGTGTGGAAGGACGGCAGAGTTTAGAGTCCAGCAGGGCAAGACGTGAACCCGGATTTTGTGACCCAGCAGCTCTGCAACCGTGGGCAAGTCGCGTTGCTTCTTGGGGCATTAGTTCCCTCGGGTTTGGAAATCGAGGACCGTGATTCATGTGTGTTTAGAAATGTGAATTACATTTCCTGCCCATCTCTCCTTGGTCAGCCTCTCCCCACCCCCCGCCCCTCCAAGACCCCTACGGCTAATTACTCGGATTGGAGTGGACACCTCGTCCAGGCTGGGCAAATCCGATTCCCTCCCTGAGAACTTCAGTTTAGGATGAGGACACAAAGTCAATCAGCTGTAAATCCATCCCGGCAGATCGGGCCGCCCCGGGAGAGGCTGTGTTGGTGCTGCATGTAATGGTGGGTCACAAGTGAGCAGGGAAGCCAGTTAGCAGAGAGAAGAAGGAAAGTGACCAAAGGAATACTGACCCTCTTTATCCTCAGCCTTTCTACTGGAGCTTCTCGCGTGGATGTGGTCAACAGTTACGATTCTGTTCGATTGCCCGCGGCAGAAAACTCAGTCCAAACTACGTGAAGCAAAAAAAGAATTCCCTGCTCGTAGGAAAACTTTCGGGGTTCAGATCGGTTTCAACCACAACTTAAGGGGCCCCCAATAACGTCACCCTGGCCTGGTTTTTCTCCGTTTCTCTCCGGCTCAAGCTACACATGACACGTTGGCAACAGCTCTGGGCTACAGACGTCCAGGTTCAAGTTCATGGGCGAAGGATCACGAGAGTTCTTTCTCGGAAGCTTCAGTGAAGGTCTCATGGCATCTCAGTGGCTCTTGGTTGGGCCCCATCCCTGTGCCAGTCACTGGGGCCAGAGGAATGTGCCGTATGGGTTGCTCTGAGCGTAGGTCACGGGGCCTATCTCTGAGCTGAAATAGGCCGGTTGAGGACACACGTGTGCGACAAAGAAGGTGCTCGATGCTGATTTCCCTTCCTCCCGTCCGTAAGCTGGTAGACTTTTCAAACAGTTCACTTAGGCTGAGATCTCACGTCTTCCTCCCAAGCCGCCCTGCAGCCTGCCCTTTGGAGACCTGCAGGCCGGTCTCCTCGCTGCCTTTTGCACCCTTGCACATGACACACCCTGGTCTGGAACACCCTTCCTGCTCCATTTTCTTCCCCAAGCCTGAAATCAAGGGTGGACTCAGGGTTCACCTCTTCTTCCCTGACAACTTTCCAGGTCCTTCTGGCAAATACGTATGGGAGGGACTCATACTTACGTTACAGAAAGATTTTATAGAAAACACTTTGCCTGAAATCCTGGTAACCAGGAGGCGGTGGCTGTCAATGGGCTTAAGGCTGGTACCCAGAGGTAAGAGGATGGCAGGAACAGGGGACATGGTGGCACATGGGCAAGGTGGCCCTTGCCTGGAGCTTCCAGATCCAACCTGGGTCTTGTCCCCTTGGATGGCCCGTCTCCAGCCCCTCTGCCTCGATCAGGCTGTTGGTGTCTCCAGCGTTCGGGCCTCAGTTTCCTCCTGGGCTACACCGGGGAACAATCAGTCCTCCAGGCCAAGTACCATTGCCCTACTCTGGATCTCTGGATCTCTGGATAGAATTGTCCCCTGGCCCTGGCTTTGGGACCCCACCCCAGAAGCCAGCCCCAGCACCGAGCCCAGCCTGGGCTGTCCCAACCCACCCTTGGGGAAGAGATCAGGAAACAGGGACAGGGAGGACCTTATTTCACCTAAACGCTCTTGTGAGAGCAGCACTGGGTGGGCAGTGGGGGTCACGGCTGCTTGTGTCACAGCATCAGGTGTGCAAACCCGGGACAGGACACTTTACTCTGCATCTCACTCTGTACTTCCTAGATGAGAGGCTCAAATCAATTCACCCAACCTCTCCGAATCCTAGTTCCTTTACCTACAAGCAATAAATCTTTACTTCCCTTGGCACTCAGTTGTCCCCTCCATAAACCAGAAAACTTATTTATATGTTCATTTGCTTCTGAGCTTGGCAAGAGCAGGGATCGTGTCACTCCGGTGCTCAGCTCGTAGTTAGACCTCAATACACGTTCGTGAAATAAACGCATGGGCACGCTGTCGCTGTCAGCCTCCGCCTCCTGGGTCAGAGCTGCACTTGCATGAGACCCCAGGGCAGGTGCACCAAGTTCCAGAAGGCCTGGAGTCCCAGTCTGCCCTGTCGGTCCCTCCACCCCGTGGTCATTCTGCGGCCCCCTTGCCAGCCTTGTCCTCTGAAAACCCGCAGAGTCGCACCTACTTTCCCCGAAGTGAGATTGAGTTTAGGTGGGATCGTGGATCCAGTCTTCAGTGGGGCTCTGTCTTCTCCCTCTGGTCCAGGCTCAGGCCTCTGTGCCAACTCTGCCCGGGGCAGGAGACCTTTGAACATCTCCTGTGCTGCCAGTGGCTGGTTCTGGAAGTTACTGTTCAGCCCACGGTCTGTGGAGAGCCCCGGGGCCCCGGTCACTGGTTAAAGCCATCCGAACCCATTTCCCACTATACAACCTGTGGTTCAGTCTGGCACAGCTGCCTTTCCAGAACCCCTGCCTGCTCCCCCAGAGCCCCTGTCTGCCTGTCTCTGGCCATCCATCCCTTCCCTGGGGGAAAGTCTCCCCTCCTGTTGTGCCCAGTGTCTCCGGAGCTCATTCCCCAGCTTGGAGGAGCCCATGAAAGAAGAGGCAGAGGTAGGTTGGGGCAGGAAGGTTGAAGGAAGAGTGGGAGCGCTCCCCGTTTCTCCAAAGCAAAGCTGTCACCCCCGGAGAGGGCACAATGACTCAGACACCGTCTTTCCCTATGGGGCAGAGCTGGGGTGGTGACAGAAGCAGGAACATGCTGGGGAGAAAATGACCCCAGAGGCGGTGAGTTCCTCAGCACCCGGGTCCCTCTCCCGCCCTCCTGGTCTCGAGACACAACAGATCTTTATTTCCCTGTAGTCCACACTTCAAGTGGGTTGTTATCTTCTCTTACTAAAAGTGTAATTCGTTTGGGGCGCCTGGATGGCTCAGCTGGTTAAGCGTCCAGCTCTTGATTTTGGCTCGGTTTGTGATCCTAGGGTCATGGGAATGAGCCCCAAGTCGGGCTCTGGGCTGACAGCAGGGACCCTGCTTGGGATTCTGTCTGTCTGTCTCTCTCTGTCCCTCCCCTGCACCCTCACTTGTGCTCTCTCTCTGTCTCTCAAAATAAAGAAACTTAAAAATAAGAGTGTAATTCATTTAAGGTTCTTTGATGATTATTTTATTTCTCCCAAGTATATTCCAGTTGAGAAGATCAATGCCAGAAAATTAGATCCATTAACAAGTACTAAGCAGCCAGTCTTGAGAGGAGGGCATTTAGAGCAAGAGAAACAGAAGAAGCAAACTCAGACCTGAGCTGCTCTGCAGGGAGCCCTGGCACAGAGATCACACCCATGCATTAAGAGCCTTCGGTACTGAAATTCAAGTTCCTTTTGGAGTCCAGAGTTGACGACTGAGCTCATCAGCCAACAATGAGCCCCTTGTGGCAGACAGAGGGGACTCTGATCTCATGCCTGAAGGCGTATCTTCTCCCAAGGCCATGAACCTGTTGATGGACAGCCTCCTTGTTCCCCAGCCCCCTTCGAGGAGCACATCAGCCTTTGCCCACATGCCCGGGGAATTGGAGGGAAAAAAACAAAATGCCACTCCACCGTGGACCAGGAGGCAGGCCAGGAGATTCATCTGTTAGAGACCTTGCTGGGTGCAGACAGGGGCCCTGGGAGGGAGGATAGAGACGGAGGGAGGAGAGAGAGATTTCCTGTGTCCCCACCACCATCAGAGGCTATGAGAAGGCAATGAATTTCCAGTGAATTTCCAAAGGGTGAGCGGTGGCCTCCATGAGGACTGAAAGGTTAACCGTTCCCGAAGCTCAAATAAAGTCCCCAGGACTCCCCGCCCCCCCCCCCGCCCCACCCTGTGATTAATTCAGCCTGGTAAAGTGGTATTTGCACTGGAAATTTAATCATCATTTCTGATGATAATGAAATTGAGAAATAAATGGAAAGTGTCAAGAACGGTGTTAGGTGGGAGGGGGGGGGATAACCAAGTGAGGTGGGGGCCAGCCACCTGGCTCCACGGTGAGTGGTTTTAGAGGCCTAAGAAACTAGGAGACTTCCCGGTTCATTATTGCGGATCAAGAACCAGGGATGGTTGGGGTGCGGGTAGGGGTGTTGGGGGACAGGACAGAGGGCATGGGCAGGGTGCCGGAGCAGCTCAGACCAGCTCACAGGGAATGGGTGGTTAAATTTTGGGAGGCTTTGTCAGCCAGATGTTCCACACAGCCACAATTAAAAATTAAATGATATAATCTTATAATTACATAAATCACATTAACAACAAAGGCAATCAACATTCAAGCTCATCAAATTCTAATTACTTGACCATATTTTACTATTATGTACGTGTTTGAGACTATTTACTCATATGGTATCTGAACGGTGGAAATACTCCATAACACCGTGCGTCTGTGTGTCTTCCAAATTTTGCACTTGACACCGTGGCATTGGTAGTTTGGAAATGACTGTGGGGGGGGGGGAGCATTTGCTCCACCGAGATTGGTAAGGAGCACAAATTGGGATCAACCCAGAAAGCGGAAATCACAAAAGTAATTTGAAAAGGGAAAATTTAATATAAAGAATTATTAGCTAGTAAAAGGTGACTACAAGAGGAATAAAATGGAATGTCAAAGAATACAGGAATATAAAAAGTGGGGAGTCGCTTCTGCTGGCTCTAGGGCCAAGGAATAGTGCTCGATGAGCAAGGCAAGAGGGCCACTCCGTTCAAGGCCAGGATTGACGTTGGCCTTGACATTGGCCAGGATTGACTGCGGCCCAAGGAAACAGCCCACAGTCAAGGGGCCAAGGCCAGTAGATAGGAAGCTACCCTGGGCGATAATGTAGCTCTTGGGAAAGCGAGAGTCAGTTTTCATGCCACCGGCAGTCATGCCATAGGAGCAAGAGGAAAAGAAAACCAGAACCTGGAAGGGAAATCCCGCCTCTTTTTTTGTACTTGGAGTAAACTACCCATATCATAAATGTTACTATCTTCACCGTTTTTAAGTGTATGGTGCTGTGCTACTAAATAGAGTCTTTTAATTTTTTTTATAACATTTATTTAGTTTTGAGAGAGACAGAGA